ATCCTGCAATACTTTTCAATATGCCCAAAATTTTTACAAAACCTGCATTACTTTTTGTCTTTGTGCCAACAATCCTTTTCCAAGTGATTTGTTCTATTGCAAATTTTGCAAGGTGGATATTTTCCTCTTCTATCAACTTCTTTTGTGGTAGCCTCAACTCCTTTACCTTTGTAATCTTTTCCAGCAGGTTGGTTCCTTAAAGGCTGGTTTCTTGCAGGAAATGTATTTGCTTTATGCCTCACTCGGAAAACTTCTTCAATAGACTCCTCACTTCGTTTACTAGTTCTTTGTTCATATGCTTGTAGAGACCCAATAACCTCAGTCACAATCAACTTGCTGAGATCCTTTGATTCTTCAATAGCTGAAATGTTTTATTTAAACTTTTCAGGCAAACTAATCAAGATTTTTTCAATTATTCTTTGATTAGAAATTTTTTCTCCATGAAGCTTTATCTGATTCACAACCTCTATGAGTTTTGAAGAATACTGCTTGATAGAATGTGCTTCAGTCATCTTCAACATCTCAAATTCTCTCCTCAACATTTGCAGCTTCATTATCCTAACTCTTTTTGTGCCTTGAAACTCCTCCCGTAACAAATCTCATGCCTTTTTTGCTGTGGTTGCAGCAACAATTCTTGGAAAAATATTTTCTGATACAGCAGAATGGATAAAAGAAAGAGCTTTATAGTTTTTGGTAAAGTCTTTCTTTTGTTGTTTAATTTGTGCTATAGTTTGATCTTATGCCTCATTTGCAGGCTCAAAACCCTTTTCTACAGTTTCCCATAGATCATAAGCCATCAAGAAGGCTTTCATCTTTACTGTCCAAAAATCATAACTTTCTCCTGTGAAAATGAGAGGTGCAAACAAAGAAACACTTGTTGTTGCCATGAAAACTATTTTCTCAGGCCCTTAAGATCATAAATGCTATGATACCATGTGAGTGTTTGAATGGAGTAGAGTTCTTCTGATGATGATGCTGAAAGAAAAACTGAGATGTTGCTGGAAGTGAAAAAGAAATGATGTTGTTGGAGAGAAATTGAGATGTAAAAGAGTAGAGAGTTCACTTCTCTATATCAAAAACATGTTTTCTCTTTTTCTTCTTTTTTTTTTTTTTTTTTTTTTTTTTTTTTTTGTTATACATCCATACATCCTCTTTGATAAGTTTTTAACCACTCTACCTACTACATATGACTTCAGATTTTTACACCATATATTCTAGAAAAAGTACAGACAACTTTGCTTAAATTAAGTTAAAATCATACATTACAAAAGTCACTGCCCTATACAACAAAAATGTCATTATATCAACAATAACCTTTTCACCTCAATTCTTTCTTGGGGTTTAAGGTTGGGAGAAGAATACTGGGCAGAATTGATGAAGTTACGAAGTGTTATCACAGAAAATTATCGTGGATAATAAAGGACATGGATAAGGAAAAGCATATTTGATACAAATCTCTATACAAAAAGTAGGTGAGATGAAAATAAAGAACAGCTTATAATATATTAACTCAAGCATCTGAAAATTTGTACATTCACTTATAGATCCTTTAGAGGCATGAAAAATCGAGTTGGACGGTCCTAATTACAAGGATTCAGTCCTCCCAATTGAATGATGGGGGATCCCCATTGCAGAGAGTTAAGTAAAAGTTCAGCAAATTCTTTATAGCTAAGAATATCAACATTCAAATTATGAAAACCGTTAGAATAAGAGACTACGGAAATGGCAGAGTGGGTGTTCTAAAAATTGTTGATTTTGAATGAGGGAATCAACTTGTACTTCCGGCATACAAAATTCTTCAAATAATTTCGAGCCTGATATTTTGGGAAGGGCATGTACAATACTTTTCTGCTATTGAGATGAATTTCTAGGAAAAGAAAGTTGAAATATACTTTGTGATTCAAACTCTCCCTTGCTAACAGAAGAAGGTACCTTGCAGAATACATGGAAACAGAAGTATTTCTTCAGTAACTATTAATTAGTACTCCCTTTAAATGGAGGTATTTTGGAAAAGAAGAACTCTAAAATTATTTTATCATGTATCTTCAAAATGCATCCAGAAATCTGTCTAATTCTATCAAGAATCAAACTAACATGGTAAATAAACCCTATAAGTTTATGTGATCGATCAGTTTAAAGTAACTGGACTTGGAGTAGAACAATGCCCTAATGGAAGGGGCAGCTCTATTACCAAATTTCTAGCACAATACCTATATTTTATGACACTTTGCACCATGATGAAGCAAGGTGTGACATGAAACAATGCTGGAACAAGTGTTCGAAATGTCACAAATTGAATTATTCCCCCGAAACCTTGATAAACCACGATGATTTTATTAAATCGAACTAGAACCCTGTAAACAAGGTATGCAAAATAATTGAAGGTGGCCTACTCTATGAAAATAATCCTTCCAAATGTTCTAATATTGGGTGAGTGCATACATAATCTTCATGTGTATGCAAAACTCATTAATTTCTGGTTGATAGCAATAATATGACAAAAGATTACATAAATAAATATAAAGGTATTGTCATTATCTTCAATCCACTCAATAGTATAATATAGAAAACAATCAACGATTAATGTCGGAACCTAAGAAAGCATCTTAAAAATTGTTTTTTCAAATTCTTTCGACACGTGTATGCATGTATGGAGTATGATTGATCGTACATGTTTTTCTTCTCTCTATTGTCACAATCTCACATACATTCTTACAAAGATTAGTTAACAGGTTTCAGATAAGTACATAACACAAAGCTAGCATTAAATATTTAACACCAACCAATGACATTAATTTCATTCTTATAATCGAAAAGAAAAGTACATTATTAACATTACAAATCCCAAGGAATCCGGAAGATATTCAAGCTAACTCGAACCGTCTAGAACTAGTGTTTACACGTATATACCAATTTACGTACTAATGTATGCATGGCTGCGTCCGTCTCTTTGTACATAGTCATACATTCACGCCTACATATCATTGTTGTTTGTGCACATTGTTACATTAATTGTGGGTCCAACATGTGAATAATTTCAGGAGATTTATCATAAAACTACCAATACAGAAATATCAAAGGAAGATCCTTCATACATGCATATACATCTCAATTTTTTCAATAAGTATTAGATCAAATTACTCAAATGAAATCAATAAATTAATAAATCCTAAATTTATCATCCAAATTATCCATCGAAAAAAAAATACACACACAAATACATACAAAAGTGGAACTGGCACAAGTCTTACCATTTTTCACTTTAGTTTCTACCAAAGAAATGTAAATGCAATCATCCAGTCCCTCTTGAAAAACCTGTGTAGCTTTAACATGCTTATCTGTACCAGGCCAAACAATGATGTAAAACAATATGAAAGAATAAGAAGATAATTTAACATTGAGGTTAGGTTATATGATGTAATAAGATTATATCTAAGTGATGTAGATTTTAGAAATTCTTTCCCTTTGGTCAAAGAGTTGTTGAAAATTAATGAAAAGGATGTTTGGCTAAGTTTAAAATAATTAAGTTACCTCTAAATAGGATTTTATTTATAGAAAAATCTGGAAAAGTATTATTTATTTTGAATCTCATTTATTTAATTTAATTTTAAGTAAAATGTTTTAAGTTCAAACAAAAATTCACCAAGTCGTTTCAATCCCTTCTTTTGGTCAATATTCGCATGTTTGACAAATCAATTGACAACTTATAAAACAAGGTCATACTCTGTATTTGTGGCTCAAAATAAACGATGATGAACCAACTTCTAGTATGCAAAATAAGATGCGAACCGGCTTTATTTTGCTTAAAAGACATGGGTCACGTGTATATATATTGTCCACATAATGCTCGAACCCACGTCTTACTAGTTTATATATATATATATATATATATATATATATCCATTTTTAATTTGACTTATAATTTGAGTAAAATCCAGCATTAAATGGTTGAATTTATGTATAATTTCATCTAATTGAAAATTAAGTTGCTAATGATATATTTAGTATGTTACTAAGAGCATACCAGATATTTATCATTTGTCGTATTGAGTGTACCATACAGAATATGTTCGAATATGTTCGAGATATGCTTATCATAAATGAAGATAGAAAAAAGAACAAATGGAAATTGACAAAGTCATATCAATAAAAGAAAACAGATAGCATAATAGAAAGATAACCTGGAAATTATTAATTTCCCTTATTATTTTCGCTATGAAACTTATAGAATTTTTACAAGTAAGAAGCTGTTATTTAGCTTTGAAAATAGCAAGACAGCTAGGTGAAAATATTAACTCTACATTGAAAGTTGGGAAGGGGAACAGCCTATCTAATCTTCTAGCCCTTGAGTCACTGGGAAGATTATTGAAGCATGAATAAACAAAATTAAAGTGGTTTTTATTCTCATGATCCCCCCCTCAAGCTGGTGAGAATTATGGAGTGAACTCACATCTTTTGTTGAATATGAGTGAATGAAGCTCGAGTTGCAATTTGATGAGTTTTAAGAACATATCGTGCAAAGAGAATACCTTGAGCAGTTTTTTCTCGAATGAAATGGAAGTGTATTTCAATATGCTTAGTTTATATGGACATGAAATGCAGAATTTTTAGTCATTTAAAGAGAACTTTTGTTATCACACAAAAGCAAAGGAGTGCATGATAGAGATAAGCCTACATCATGAACTAAAAATGAAAAATCCAAGTAACTTCACTTGCAGTAGAATGTAAGGATTGATGCTAGGATCCGACACTAGTACGATCAACAATAGTTTTTTTTCTTTGAGATCCAAGAAATGCAATTTGCACCTAGATAATTAGTTACACACTAGCCAATTGTATTGCAATGATTGAGTGGACAATGTATCCGATCAGAGTCCCAAAAGGCATAAAAGGCAGGAGAGCTTCGAGTGAGACAACGAATATCAAGATGTATAGTCCCTTGGAGATTACGTTTAACATCTCAAAGATTAGCAGCAGTTGACATTTGAAAGTGCTGGAAAATGGAATTGACAGCACGTGTGATGTCTGGGCAAGTGAAAGTGAGGTACTCGAGACTATGACTTGAGCTCTAAATTTAGCGGCATTCACATATCATAATGAGTAGGAGTTGGTGTCTCTTTGATAGACATAGAGCAGTTTTGCATGCGAGATTTTGCCAATAAAATTCATATTATTTATTTTGTATGCGATAAGAAAATGCCATCATTAAAGCATTTCACTTCAACACTTGAACAATAATTGAGATGACCTAGCTATGATTCTATAATAATTTGTTGAATGGTAGAAGAATGCGATTCTGTAATAATTAATATCTTGTTTAATTTATTTTTACATTACATAGTAAATATATGATTAGCTACTTGGTTTTTAGTTTGATGAAACTATACACAAATTCACCCTTTTAATGCCGAAATGAAAAGATGTATGCCTTTTTTGAGCCAAAGTATGAAAAAAAGAATTACCTTTACGTAATTTATATATTCAAAGCAAGTTGACTACAGAATTGAAAAGGTTAAAACTTCATTTTTTTATCGGAAGTAACTTGTAAGACGTATATCCCTTGTATTGTGTGGACAATAAATACTGTAATCCATGTCTTTTAAGCAAAATATGGCTGGGCCCCATACTTGTTTTGCATACCAGACGTTGGTCCAATCATTATTTAATTTGAGCCACAAAATAGAGTATGACCACTTTTTTTTATGTTGTCAACTTAATTGTCAAATATGTGCAATATGACCACATAGAAAAGATTGAAACATCTTGGGAATGTTTGGCTAAACTTAAACATTTTACTTAAAAGTAAATAATCAAAATTCAAAATAAGTAATTGCATATCCAAATTTGCCTATAAATAAAATATTATCTAGAACTAACTTAACTTACTTTAAACTTATCCAAAGATGCTCTTAATTGTTTCACTTTTCATTAATTTTCAAGAACTGTTTGACCCAAAGGACATAAATTTCAAAAATCTACATAATCTTATTACAATCATTTAATTAAATCATCCTTATCTCTCTACGCTCACTTTAATTACAAGCTATACAGATATGATAAAGATTACCTGTATCCATTTACATATACAATCACCTATATTGACCTATACATAATTGACTCTTTATCTACATGTTCCATGTTGATTATATAAATTTCATCAGGAGCAAGCAGCTGCAGTGCACCATGTTACACTAAATCGGCCGGCTTAGTACTATAAAACCATAAATGTTGCACTCACTTATAGTGAAACATTCCAGTCCTTTTTCCAAAAAAAAAAAAAAATTATGTTTATCAAATAAATCAATAAATAAAAACAAAAGTGTTCATTTTTTTTTCTCCAGCCAGGCTACGACAGGAAATCATCCGTGCAGAGGTAATTTTAATTTCTTTATTTTTTTGGCTAAAAAAATGAAATATTCTCCCACTGTTAAATTATTATTATTATTATTATTATTATTTTCTATCACATTGTTCTAGTTTCTTTGTTTTGGCTGGTACAGATAAAGTTTATGTTAAAGCTACAGAGGTTTTTCAAGGGGGACTTGATAATTTAAGTTCAAATTTCTTTGGTAGAAACTAAAGTGAAAAATGGTAAGACTTGTGCCAGTTCAATTTTTTGCATGTAGTCGTGTGAATTTCCAAGGATAATTAAATTTTTTTTTTTTTTACGTGTGTAATTTGATCTAATACTTATTGAAAAATTTGAGATGTATGTGTCTGTATGAAGGATATTCCTTTAGTATTTTTATTTTGGTACTTGTGATTTGATTTCTAGAAAATTTTCACATGTTGGATCGAAGGTGAAACAATTTGACACAGGCAAAAAGCAAGGTGACACTATAAATTTAGGATTTATTAATTTATTTATTGTGTGTGTGTAAGATCTAATACTTAACGAAAAATTTGTGATGTATGTGCCTTATGAAGGATATTCCTTTAATATTTCTATTTTGATACATGTAATTTGATTTCTAGAAATTTTTCACGTACTGGATCCACCGTGAAACAATATGACACAGACAAAAACTATATGTAGACAAGCATATATCAGAATATATACTAGGACACCTACATAGTCATGCGTGTATTAGTACATAATGGCTATACACGTGTAAACACTAGTTCTAGATGATATGTAATGTTAAAAATGTCCTTTTCTTTTCCATTATAGGTCCAAATTAATGTCACTGGTTGGTGTTAAATACCCTATCGGAACGGAAATTAAATGCTGCAATTAAGAATGTGCTATGTACTTTTAGGAGCGTGTTTGCCACGTGAACACACCCTTAACTTATCTTGGTAAGAATGTATATAAGATTGTGAAATTAGGAATAAAAAGAAAATATCTACGAGTCATGCTCCAAACTGCATACACGTGTCGATAGAATTTGAAAAAACGAATTTTAAGATGGTTTTTTAAGCTGCGACCTTATTCATTGATTGTTTTCTATATTATAATGTTGAGTGGCTTCACGATAATGAAAATACCTTTTTACTCCCAACCTTAGACCTCAAGAACGAATTGAGGTGAAAAGGTTACTTGGTCACTAGTTGCATGACATTGTTATTAGGTATTTAAGGTTATATAACTCGTGCAACTTTGAAGATCTTTTCAGAAAAAGATCATTTTGAAGTCCTGGATCTACCACTCTTTGGCTAATGGAGAGCTGGGTAATGACGCTTCTAATAGGATTGAACAAAAACGTGCTCATCAGTGGTCTATGGATACATCTGAGCAAGAGCTATACAGCAACAAGAAGCAAGCAGTAGAATCTGCTTACGACAAACCTGCTTCAGGAGCTGCAAACATGAACATATCCCTGTTGGGCAACACTTCCAGTTCTCAGTCAGGTCAGATAGGCAACTGCCTATTTCGGCCTAAGCCTATCAGGATTTCAAATTTTGCAGATAAGAATGTTTCCCTCATGGGGGTTCTGAATGTGGGGAAGAAGGGTTCGGAAGGTCAGGTAGAAATTGATTCGTCCATTTGTTTACCAGGGTCTCGTGATGAGGAAGGTCTCTTGTGTCTAAGCATTGGAGGTAGAAACCAGATCGTTTCAGATAATCACGTGTCTGAATTTGTAGGGAAACCCTCTAACCCTAGAGACAAGAATAAAATTATTAGCTCCATCATTCACGGGACGAGTAATGATTTGTCACTTGGACCAACTTATAATACCGATGATGGAAGTGCCATTTTAGTGAATTTAACTGCATTCGGTAAGATAGATAAAAACTTCCTTTCACTGGGACAGGTCTCCAACAAGGGAGATGACAGTTTCATTCTACCGTGTTATCTAGATGACGGGATAGATAATAATCTTCCGTCCATTGGACAACCCTTCGACAAAAAGTTTGGCAACTTTATTCCAACTGGGGAGGGGTTTGAAAAGGGAAATGACAATCTAATGCCAATCGATCCTAATTACTATGGGAGCAATGAAACTTTCGTTTCTATGGACAATTTCTACAATAAAGTAAATGACGCTTATATGTCAGCAGGTCCTACTTATGATAATGGGAGAATAGATACTGCATCAATCACTTCAATTCAAGGTCAGCAGGATGCTACTGTTGCATCACTAGGAACTGTTTACAGTAAAGGAAATTCCAGTTTCCTATCAATGGGCCAAAGCCATAATAAGGGGAATGGCACCACTATACCTTTTGGAGGCTTTCATGATAATCCATCAGCAAGCTATCCCTCTTTCAGGCTCCTAAGCAAGCAGAGTCCTTTACTAAATCATTCCTCAGCTCACAGAAAGATTTTGTGAAGTACGGGTTCCTAAATATAAATTCTGTTTCGGCATGTGCTTCAGGGACAGGGAGTGGCCCCAAGAATAAGAAGAAGACAACTGAAAAGCTCCCTTCAAACAACTTCCCCTCAAACGTTAAAACTTTGTTGTCAACTGGTATATTTGAAGGAGTTCCCGTGAAGTACATTTCGTGGTCTGGGGAGGTGAGATCTGATATTTCTTTTTTCTCCATTCCTTACTATGTTTTTGTTTTTTTAACCACAATATATTTTTGCATGCAGAAAAATCTTAAAGGAGCGGTAAAAGGGACTGGTTATTTGTGTGGTTGCAAGGAGTGCAAGCTTTCCAAAGTAAATATTACTGATAATTATCATTGGATGTTCCATTGCATGTCCTCTCATAACGTTTAGCTCCCAACTTATATTGTGCAGGTTATTAATGCTTATGAGTTTGAGAAACATGCTGGTTGCAAGACCAAACACCCGAATAATCACATTTACTTTGAGAATGGGAAGAGCATTTATGCTGTTGTCCAAGAACTGAAGAGCACCCCTGGGGACATGCTATTTGCGACAATAGAAAATGTGTTTGGATCTCTTGTAAACCAGAAAAATTTGCATACTTGGAAAGGTGAGGTTTTTACTTTCTTAAAAGAAGTTTAGTGTTGTCTTTTATCCCTTAAATGATAAATATTCTTTTCTGTATCTGCATCCCAGACAATCTTACATTTCTTTTTCTTCTCAGATTCGTATCAATCTGCAAACCTTGAAATTCAGCGAATTAATGGGAAGGATGAACCGGACATGCATCCTAAATAATGATGTCGCTTGTGTCTAAATTTTTAAGGTTGGTGGACAGCTGATGTGCTTGTACCTGGTGTGCATGACCTTACCTTATTCGGAACATTAGATATTGATACTGAGAGCCGCTTGCTAAGTTTCGCTTTTAAATGTTATTAGTACTTTCCTATGTTTTCTTTTATAAGATATTTCGTTTGTTAAAAATAAATGGATTTTTACCTAAGTAAAAAAATTATTACTTATTAGGAATAGATTTTATTTCATAGAGTCGTGGATGATTTGGTTTTATTATTATTTCGGCTTCTAAATAAAATATCATGAGCTTGAAAGCATTTGGTTTTGAATCCTTTCATTGAAGACGCGCAAGTCTTCCCTGTATTATGTCATGGTTTGGGTAATTAATCCACGAGGTGCACTTCAGTTTTATGGCATATGCATCTGCTTAAAGATTGAAATGAAACAAATTTAAGACAAGATAGGAATCTGGAAAATGGTACTTATACTGGCCCTATTCTGATTCAAACATGAGAATTGCCCGATGTGATTTGTATAACAATATGCATTGTATTAGGAAGGGTGGATAATATGTGATGCATGGCGTTAGGCATTAGTGCCTTCTTCTAGTTTGTCAAATTTGTGGGGGTAAATTAGACGTTGGTCCAATCTTTTTTATTTCTAGTCACAAATGTGAAAAATTTTAAATGGACAGGGCAGACAGAGCATTAGGCCCTATCCATTGGCACAGACCTCCTGCCAATAGGGGGCATACTGGACGAACAGGGCTTACATGACCCTATTCGTATAGCAGGCCTCCACAAATATAGAGTAGGACCATGTTTTATAAGTTCTCAACTTATTTGTCTAACATGTGCATAGTGACAAAAAGAAAAAGATTGAAAAGAATTGGCGAATATTTGGCTAAACTTAAAACATTTTGCTTAAATGTAAATAAACGAGATTCAAAATAAACAATTACATATCCAAATTTGCCTATAAATATTAGAGCATTGCTTTCTATATAGGCCCTGTTTTCACATGGCCTATACAGAATACTCACAATGCATGGGGGGGGGGGGGGTTTTTTTTTTTTTTTTTTTTAAAACCCCCCCCCCCCCCCCCCTTCACTTCCTCAAGTAACTCTAAATATTATCACCATCATTGCTACTATAAAAAAGTGAATATGCCAGTTACTATTCATTCAGAACGTATTTTACTTTTGCATTTTACCCTCAAATATTTTACCAATCCCTCTTTCCTCAAAGAAAGCAACAAATGACTTGGGCGTAGGCATTCCAACCAATTTTTTGTGGAATTTTTTGCCCTTGCATAAGTTTGCTGGGTCCCACATCTGCAAAGTTTGTGGCAAGAAAAGGGACAACAACTACAGTTGTTGGCCAAAAATTGCTTGAAATGTCCAAACTATCCTTGTGATGGTGTAAAATTTAAAAAAATTTACGGATGTCATAGTATTTTCATCAAAGTTACTTGTTCAGAATGTCAAAAATTGCTGCAGTGATTTTTTTTATAAACTCCGCGCAGCGCGGAGAGTTATCTCTGCATTGCACGGAGGGCTTTTTATTAATATTTTTTTGCTTTTTTTTTCAGACATATTTTTGATAATTTGATCATAACTTTTGCTATGGTTATTAGAATTGCGCTCATGACCCCAATTCGTAAAGCTCTTTCCGGCACGCACATTATGGCCACCAAGTTTCATTGGGTGGGCATTGTTTTCAAGGTCAAAATCTGTTTTTTTCCTTCCAAATCCCCAATTATAGTTATTTTATTCCTTTTATCACATCTTTTATGAAAACATACTTTCTATGTCATATATACATTTATCCTACGTTAAAAAAAACAAAAATCATTAACATTAAACACATAATTTTTTTTTAACAAAATGATGTAATATTTATTGATAAAATTATCGCACAAAAATAAAAAACATTAATAAAATAATTTATTTTTTTAAGAAAAAAGATGAGTTATACGCATTTTTTAACACACACGTTTGATGTATGTTTAACTATTTTCGATATTCATTTAGATCATTCGATGTATCTGTAACATAGTTCTCAAAATAAGTTTCGAGAGAATATCGAAAATTTATGCATTTGACTACTGTCGACCGTAATAAAATATTAATAGCTCGTTTGATGTCCCTTTTTTAACCAAAAAAAAAATAACTTTTTGAAATACTGATTTAATGGAGAATATGTGGTTAAAAATAAAGATAAGTTTTGAATTGTGTGTAATATTATTTTATTTTAAAATGTATGATTAAAAATAAGAGAGAGAAAAATGTATTCTGAAATAAATGGGAATCAAACAAGGTCTAAAATTTAAATACAATAACTTATTTTTTTTGAAATTGAACATATATAATTCTGTTATAAAAAGTAAAATGTACTCACCAAATGATATTTTTGCTAAGTTTGTATAGTTTAAAGGAAGAGCACAAGTTTCAATCTTTGTAATTGCATTAAACCTGCTAATATATATATATATATTTCTTTTTTTGTTTAAATGCTGTCACAAATCAATAGTTGCCTTAGTGGTCACATTTTCGACAAGTTGAACTAAGCTTCGGAAGTTCGAATCTCGTTGGCACCATTCATTATTGCATTAATTTTGGTAAAAATAGTATAACTAAAAATATTTGTACTGTAGATTCAGTTGGTTGGAAAAAAATTCAAACTCGGGACCTCAAGAATGCGTGTGCAAGCTTTAGCCAACCTGTCGTGAAGAAATGTTGGAGATAAAAGTGAATTATCAGTAAAATAATATAAAACATTGACTGTCAACCCAAAAAAAAAAAATGGCGATAGGCGGATCCAGCACGCGTGGCCGCAGGAGCTCGCTAAGTGCTGGATCCGCCACTGGTCATGATGGTCAGGAAAAATGTCAAAATAACCACAAACCAGATGCTAATGAGCTATTAATATTTTATTACAGTCGACGGTAGTCAGTACATAGTATGGTTATTTTTGTGTATTAAAATGTCCATCAGAGTATGGTGATTTCAGTCAACAAGTAAGGTGTTGTTAGATGGTAGTTGTTGACTAGAAACATGGTAGAAAACTATTGTAATATATATATGTTTGGAACCAGTCGAACCGTGCTGTAGCTGGTTATTTTTCATCCTAAATACAAGTCTTTCTCTTCCACTTTGTTGACATTATTCCATCAGTGGTATCAGAGCCACTTTGGCCTTAGAACACGAAGAAAGGAAGGGCAGACACAGGTGAGAAAATCAGAAAATAACCACATATAAACTGGTGAGTGTGAGTAATGGCCTCTGGTGGTTTCACAGCTCCTCTGCCTTCAATATTTGCTGGAGAAAACTATGATTTCTGGGCTGCAAAGATGAAAGCATATTTGAGAGCTTATGATTTATGGGAAATCACAGAAAATGGCACTGAACCTCCACCACTTAGAGCAAATCCCACAATTGCACAGCTGAAGCAACATAGTGAGGAGATTGCTAAGAAATTTAAGGCTCTTTCTTGTATACAATCTGCTGTCTCGGATGCCATTTTCACAAGGATTATAACTTGTGAATCTGCAAAAGAAGCCTGGGATAGGCTAAGGGAGGAATTTCGAGGCAATGAAAGGACAAGACAGATGCAAGTGCTGAACCTAAGAAGGGAGTTTGAAACTCTGAAGATGAAGGAATCAGAAATTGTCAAAGAATTTACTGATAGACTGATGAAGATAGTTAACCAAATTAGGTTGCTAAGTGATGACTTGCCAGACAGGAGAGTAGTAGAGAAGGTCTTGATCAGCTTGCCCGAAAAATTTGAAGCCAAGATCTCCTCACTCGAAGATTCGAGGGACCTGGCTAGTATGTCTTTGTCTGAGCTTGTCAATGCTCTTCAAGCCACAGAGCAAAGAAGATTGATCAGACAAGAAGAGCAAGTCGAGGGAGCCTTGGTTGCTAAAGGAAAATACAAAGCACAAACTAGTTATGGGATGAAGAAACCATTTAATGAGAAGAAGGGTGCTGAATGCAGCAAGAATCCTGTTGAAAGAAAGAAGTATCCACCATGTCCTCATTGTAAAAAGATAGGACATTCACCTAAATGGTGTTGGTTCAGGCCTGGAGTACAATGTAGGGCTTGCAAACAATTTGGTCACATTGAAAAGGTATGTAAAAGTAAGAAGGAGAAACCGGACCAGCAGCAAGCTCAACTTGCTGAAAATCGAGAAAACCAACAGGAAGAACATCGTTCACAGCAACAAATTCAAATGTCAGCAGCAATGATGAAGCTTGGCTGCTTGACAGTGGATGCACTCACCATATGACATCCAACTTAAGCATCTTTACCAAGATGGATGACAAACTCACGTCAAAAGTTAAAGTTGGAAATGGTGAGTTTGTTGAGGTAAAAGGTGCTGGAGAAATTGCAGTACAGACTTCATCAGGTACCAAGCTCATATCAGATGTTTTATATGTGCCTAATATTGATCAGAATTTGATTAGTGTTGGTCAATTGATTGAAAAAGACTATACACTTATATTCAAGGATAATAGATGCACCATATTTGATCCACAAAATCAGGAAGTCATGAAAGTAGGAATGAGACATAGGAGTTTTCCATTGGAGTGGAAAAATGTCAGTGATCAAGCACTAACAACCACAGTAATTGAATCATCTTTATGGCACAAAAGATTTGGACATGCTAGCTATGCATCACTTAAGTATTTGCATGATTCGAAGCTTGTAGAAAATATGCCTGAGATTTGCAATAATGATTGTGTGTGTGATGCATGTCAATATGGAAAGCAAACTAGATTACCATTTCCAAAAAATCAAGCAAGAAGGGCAACAAAGAAACTTGAATTGGTGCACTCAGATGTTTGTGGACCTATGAGAACCTCAACCATGAATGGCAACAGATATTTCATCCTTTTTATAGATGATATGTCAAGAATGTGCTGGGTATATTTTTTGAGAATGAAATCTGAAGTAGCAGGTGTGTTTAGGAGGTTTAAAAATTGGATAGAAACTGAATGCAACAGCAAGATAAAGTCCATCAGATCAGACAATGGAACAGAGTATTGCTGTGGCCAGTTTGACAAATTCTGTGAAGATACGGGGATCAAACATCAGTTAACTATACATTATTCTCCCCAGCAAAATGGTGTTTGTGAAAGGAAAAATAGAACGATTATGGAGATGGCCAGGTGTTTGATGTTTGAGAAGAATATACCTAAGGAATTTTGGGCAGAAGCTGTAAATACTGCTGTGTATTTACTTAACCGATTGCCAACAAAATCCTTAGATAAAAAGACTCCATATGAAGCCTGGTATGAGAAGAAACCTGATGTGTCTCATCTGAAAGTGTTTGGTAGTATATGCTTCATTCATATTCCTGATGTAAAGAGGGATAAATTGAGTCAAAAGGCTGAAAAAGGTGTGCTGGTTGGTTTTTGCAACAATGCTAAGGGATACAGAGTTTTTATCCCACAAAGCAAGAAGATAATATCCAGTAGGGACATCAAAGTTGATGAGGGATCTACATGGAATTGGGATGCAAAATCAGTCACTCGACTTCAAAATCCTAGAATTACTCCACAACCAGATGATGATGATGATAATGAAGTAATAGAGGATGCTGAGAGTGACACAGATTCTGAAAATGTGGTGATAAAAACTAGATCACTGGAAGACATATATGCTAGATGTAATGTTGCTGCTATGGAGCCTTCAAACTACACTGAAGCAGCAAGATCAAAATGGTGGATGGATGCAATGAAAGAGGAACTAAACATGATTGAGAAAAATGGAACCTGGAAGCTGGTTGATAGACCAGAAAATAAGCATGTAATTGGTGTAAAGTGGGTGTATAAAACAAAGCTGAATCCAGATGGTTCTATCAACAAGTTTAAAGTAGGCTGGTCGTGAAAGGATACTCTCAACAATATGGAATTGATTTTACTGATACTTTTGCACCAGTGGCCAGGTATGAAACAATCAGATTGTTATTTGCAATGGCTGTTCATAGAGGTTGGAAAATCTATCAATTGGATGTTAAATCGGCATTTTTGAATGGACACTTGGAGGAAGAGATTTTTATTGAACAACCTGAAGGTTTCCAACTTGAAGAGGCAAGTGAAAAAGTCTATCTATTAAGGAAGGCCTTGTATGGACTTAAACAGGCTCCTAGAGTGTGGTATAGCAGGATCGATGAGCACTTGAGCAAACTTGGTTTTTTGAGAAGTGTGAATGAACAAACCTTGTATATAAGGCAAGAAGAGAACGAGATGATCATCATCTCATTGTATGTGGATGATCTTCTAATCACAGGAAGCTGCTATGCAAAGATCAATGAAGTAAAAGATGAATTGAGAAAGGTCTTTGAGATGACTGATTTGGGAGAAATGCACTATTTCCTTGGCATGGAAATATTTCAAATTCAAAATGAGATATTTCTTGCTTCAATGCTAAATTAAAAGATATTGCGTCCCTTAATCTGGATTGTCACATTTCATCATCCTAGCGCAGATATTACAAAGTTATCTCCAAACTTCACATTAGTTCTAAAGCATTCAGCCAAGCAACAGAAAATACACTTATGTCCATACATGGGATTGCTGCCTGGAATTTAAATACCACAAATTTGAGTGAGTTTGTTTCTTTGTAAGGCACATCTGAGTATTGAAATTTCTTCTTTCTACAAAGTTGGATCTTTCACCACATTCTTTATTTGACAGGCATTCCGAGCAATAGTGACCATACTTATGACAACGGAAAAATTGTACATGGGAATTATCTTTTTACATGTAACCAGCGACGGAGCTCGAGGAGGGCAAAGTTTTCATAAAAAAATTACATATGGAAAAAAGACCAGGACTAACCCTTGTCAACCCCCCAACCAAAAAAATAATAATAATAATAATAATAATAAATAAAAATTTATATATATAGATCATTAGCATCTGGTTTGTGGTTATTTTGACATTTTTCCTGACCATCATGACCAGTGGCGGATCCAGCACTTAGCGAGCTCCTGCGGCCACGCGTGCTGGATCCGCCTATCGCCATTTTTTTTTTTTGGGTTGACAGTCAATGTTTTATATTATTTTACTGATAATTCACTTTTATCTCCAACATTTCTTCACGACAGGTTGGCTAAAGCTTGCACACGCATTCTTGAGGTCCCGAGTTTGAATTTTTTTCCAACCAACTGAATCTACAGTACAAATATTTTTAGTTATACTATTTTTACCAAAATTAATGCAATAATGAATGGTGCCAACGAGATTCGAACTTCCGAAGCTTAGTTCAACTTGTCGAAAATGTGACCACTAAGGCAACTATTGATTTGTGACAGCATTTAAACAAAAAAAGAAATATATATATATATATTAGCAGGTTTAATGCAATTACAAAGATTGAAACTTGTGCTCTTCCTTTAAACTATACAAACTTAGCAAAAATATCATTTGGTGAGTACATTTTACTTTTTATAACAGAATTATATATGTTCAATTTCAAAAAAAATAAGTTATTGTATTTAAATTTTAGACCTTGTTTGATTCCCATTTATTTCAGAATACATTTTTCTCTCTCTTATTTTTAATCATACATTTTTAAATAAAATAATATTACACACAATTCAAAACTTATCTTTATTTTTAACCACATATTCTCCATTAAATCAGTATTTCAAAAAGTTATTTTTTTTTTTGGTTAAAAAAGGGACATCAAACGAGCTATTAATATTTTATTAGCGTCTGGTTTGTGGTTATTCTGACCTTTTTCTTGACCATCATAACCCCTTCCTTTTCCCAGATCATTAGCATCTAGTTTGTGGTTATTCTGACCTTTTCATCATCGTTTTCCACATCAATGTGCCCCTGGATTTATATCCACCTGAAAAGTTTGCTCCTACTTGTCTAGTTGTCTTGTTGGTATATTTTATGTTTGTCAACCAACAAAGAGATTTTCTATTTATCTATTGATAGTGTGTTAGTTTTCTCAGATTCTTAGGTCAAAAAAACAACATAATTGAATTTCGCTACCCTTGATATAAGACTGTTCTCAACTACGGTAATATCCATCATTGCTCAACTACGGTAATATCCATCATTGCATTGTCATGGTTTCAATCTTATTTGCAATTGCCGCTGTTCTTGAGATTTAACCACCGACTCTACTGACTTCATGATTAAAGTCTCAAATTAAGTGCGGAGTGCTTGAAGTTGCACTCACCTTCCCCTTGCTGATTTTGATACTTCTTTTCATGGAACTCCAAATCTGCTTGGAAGTATCTTGCTAAGAATTGTTTCCAAGATTGAAATATCATTAGCTTGGATGAGGTAATTCTTAGCTTTGATATCTTTTAGCTTATGTCCATTCAATTCGGCTCTTTGCACTAGTGTCAACACAATTGGCTTATGATGTTTTTGCTATTCTAGAATCAACAGCATTCCAATACTTTTTGGAATGCAAAAATTCTACATTAATGTTGGGCTGTGATGCCAGTCCAGCCCATTTTTTAGGCAATGATAAGATAAATGGCCTTCGGCCCAAGTACTAAATCTTATCCAATAATGTTATCTGAGATGACCCACAAACCCAAACCCGATATTCAGCCCAAATGTATGTGAGTTGCTCTAGACTGTTGGATGAAGATACATATCAACGGTTGATTGTGTGTTACTATAAATACGAATTTTTAACCCCAATTTGAAGACTTCTTCATTCTCTGTCTTTTCTCCAGGTGTTTGGAACCTTCTGGGTTTCTGAGTTCTTCGTCTGTTCATCTTCAATGTGTGAGTCAATCCTTTTTCTCTTAGTGAGATCTGAAATCTTCGTGTTTTCTCTGTTTGAGTAAACCAATATTTGTGATTAGAGTCCAGATCTGTTCATTGAAGCAACCCCACATTGGGGACTTGAGAGGGTTTCTGGTTTGTGTACGGGTCTCTTTGATGATACAGAAGGGTACAAGGATCTGAGCCTGAATCGGTCACTATTCTTGGTGTCCAGTGGTAATTTGTATAGTTGTTAAAGTGTATTTTCTTGGATCTATAATTTTCTATCTGAGATTTGTACATAAGAGTGGTATTAGAGCACTATACTTGTAATTTCTTGCCTTCTATCGATTATGAAACTTGGAAAATTAATTTCCTGTGTTCTATCCCAAGATCAATTGATATTTCGTGAAACCCTAGATCCGATTTTGGTTTGATCTGAGAGTTTCACTTACGGATCCGGTTGTTTCGAGTGAAAATCTGAAAGTCCTGGGTGATTTCTTAGTTCGATTGGTGGCTGGACCCCAAGGTGAATCCAATCTTG